CAAGGACACCTGGAGGTCAGCACCTGAGGCCTTCCTCTGGGGTGACCAGGTCCCCACTTTCCTGTCTCAGGTGAGTATATGCCTAGCAGTAGCACTCCTGAGCTGGACAAGGGAAGGGGCTGGGAACAGCCTGTTCACAACTCAGACTTTCACTAATCCCCCTGTAGCAGTCAGACGCTGGTGCATAACAAACCACTGTAAAATCTCCATGGCAACGACAGTACGCATTCACTGGCGCTGTTCAGCCAGGCTGCGTGGATCTAAATGGGTCACACTGGGCAGATGTGCATCAGGTTTCTCCCATTGCTTGGCACAGGCAGGTTCACCCACAACGCAGTCTTCTTCTACAGCACAGCAGAGCAGGTCCAAGGGCACAGGCACACAGGTGTCTCCTCTGAATCTCGTGCTAAGGTCCCTGTGGCACAGCAAGTTCCATGGCTGGGTCTCCGGGCAGTGGGGCCCGAGGGAGTGGTTATTTGCTAAGTGGAACGGAAGCCGCCAAGGTGCCAGTGTCAGTCTGGTGCCTCCCCCGACCTTGCCCCGGAGCAGGTGCCCCAATCCCCAGCTCTCTGTTTAATTTTCCCTGTCCAGCTCAGAAAAAGGGGCTTCCTGGCTGCATCGTGCAATGGTGAAGACTAGGGGGTTTCTAAGCGCTCCATAGACTCCCAGACCACCCGGACTGTTTGTTTCACCTCCTGCATCCCGTGTGCAGTGTCTGAATCCCTAATCCTGAGTCCCCCCGGGGTTCTTCCAGGCCACCCCGCCCAGTGGGCACTGAAATCGGTCTTCCTCGGTTCTGGCAAATGATTTATTCACACTGCCATCTGCTCTCACCCTCGCACACTGTGGTTTGGGGTTACAGAGGTCTCTCGCTTTCTCTGAAGGTGGGCGTTGTGTTTCTGTTTCTTGTTCTGTCTTGCTGCTTCTTTACGTGGCCCCTGGGACCAGAGCCTCTTCCTCTCCGTGCCATGTGACATGTGGCTCCAGCCTCGTGGCGGAGTTTCATTTGCGTGTCTACCTCTCCCTCCGGCTACGGGTCCCGGCCAGGGACAGCCGTGCCTCCCCTCGCTACACCTGCAGCCCCTGCACACCCTGGTGCAGAGGATCTGGTGCACACATGGGAACTAGATGAGGCAGAACTGGGGGTCCCTGGGATCTCTGCTCCCTTTGCCTTCCACCAGGCCCTCTGCAGGAGTCCCCGGACCTGCCTCTCCCTCCTTACCCCTCAGCCCCAGATGGGATCAGAGGGAAGCTATGGGGGGAACGGCAGAGATCGAAGGACTAGGCAGCAAGAGCCCCTGCCCAGAGAGGTCGCTGCTGGCACCAGTGCCTTGGGAACCAGCTCCCAAGACCTGGTGGTGAGGGCAGCAGGCACACGGGCCTCTCCGAGACTCTGCAGGAGGGGGGGCTCCTGTGGGCAGCTCTTCTCTTCCCCACGGCGACGGATGGGGCCACCATAACCTGGGGCTTCTGCTGCCACATCCAAGATGGCGGCGAGGAGGCTGGAGAGCGGGTGCTACGGGGTCACTGGCGTGGTTGGCATCCCCAGCCCCCTCTTGCACCCATATGCTCATTTGCATAAACAGCAGCCTCAGGGCGGCCCTGCTGCCCCAGGCTCGCTGTGCAGGGAAACCAGCTCCTTAACACCTCATCACAAACAGCCCTGAAGGCAGCCCCTGCGCAGGGGTAGAGGAGGGCTAGGGTCGGCGACTGCGGAAGTGCTGGGGTGAGCAGATGTCACGGGAGGAGGGAGCAGCTTGAGCCAAGGTCCTGGGGTGGATGAGGACAGTTCTCCATGAAGTGGCCCCGAGGGCTGGGACTATTGGAGGAGGGGAGGCAGGGCTAATGGGCGAGGCTGGCTTCTGTGCCCAGTGCCCTGCGGTGTCACTAGAGGGCTCAGACTGGGAGCCCGTTTGATCTGGTTTGGGCTCTGATGTGATAGCCCTGGCAGCAAGGATCCGAGCAGGATACACGAGCGGTCAGAACGGTGCCTGGTGGAACGCCCTGCTCCCTGGCTCTGCAGAAGTGCGCATCCCTGCCCCGCGGCGGTTCCCTTGGCCACAGGCAGCGTGAGCAGAGGCCTCCAACGCGGTCGGGAAGGGGCTCAGCTGTGGTGCTTCCAGATCCACCAGGAGAAGAGCGGATCCCCGCCAGTGCTGGTCGGAGGCTGAGAGAGCCGCGAGCACAGCCCCACCAGCCCGCGGCAGGAGCGGGTCCCCAATCCAGCCCAGGCGGTCAGCCAGCCCACCGTGGGCAGCGTCTGAAGAGGACAGTTGCACTGCTTGGTGGGAGAGGGACCGAACAGAGAGGGCGGTAGGGAGGCCAAAGAGGCCATCACTGCTGCTACGGGACAGCGGCAAGGCCCCGAGCCAGAGCCCGGCAGGGACAGGGATAGGTTGGGCCAATACTGGAAGCCAAACTGTCTGAGCGTGACCAGTGAATATCAGGGTGAGAGAATAGGAGCCTGGGGGACCCCCACATCCCTGCTTTGGAGGAGGAATTAGAAGCAGCCAGGCTCCAAAACAAAGTCTCAAAAGAGTTGGCCCTATTCTTCTCGGTTTTTTTTTATAGTCTTTTTGAGACAGGGTCTCCCGATGCAGTTCAGGCTGGCCTTGAGCTCACTTTGTAGCCCAGGCTGGTCTTGAACTCGCACCATTCCTCCTGCCTCAGCCTCCCAAGTGCTGGGATTACAGGCGTGGGCCACCACGCCCAGCTCCTTTTCTTTCTTTTCTCTCTCTTCTTTTCCTTTCCTTTCTTAACAGGGTCTCACCATGGGACCCAGCCTGGCTTTGAACCTGTGTTGATCCTCCCACCTCAGCTTCCCGAGTGCTGGGATTACTTGTGTGTGCCACCATGCCCAGCTGAAGGTGCTCTTGCCTGGCAGGCCACATATCCACCCCAAGATGGGTCAGGTATGCAGTGTGGAGCCCCATACCCTGCCAGGCCAGGTGCAGAACAGGTGCCGAGACCTGAGGCTGCTGGTGAGTGAGCCCCCGCCCCACCCAACAGCTCTTCCTGTTTCAAAACAGGTTCTCTCGGGCCTCCCTCACTGCCGCTCTTTTCTACCCGAGGGCCTCTGATCCTGAGCCCATTTGCAGAGCAGGAATGAGGGACCCAGCCCATGTCCAGGGACAGCTGAGTGCAAAAATACAGTGGCAAGAGCAATAGGCTGAGTCCTAAGGCTTGGTTACCAATGCTGTCAGCTAGCCATAACAGATGGCCTGACCAACACTAGCATGAGCGTGTAAGAGGTTTCGTTTTCATTTGTTTTCACGTCAAGGCAGCCATTGGTATCAATTCAGCTGCCAACCTGGGCTCTATTTACCTTTCTGCTCCAACATTCTGAATATGTTGGTTCATAGTGTGTCTTCATGATTGTGGCTTCAAGCTCACAAAATGGCTGCAACAGCTCTAGACATCCCATCAATATTCCAGGCAAGGAAAGAGGTGGGACAAAGGGCAGTGTCAGCTGCATTTGTCATTTTAATGGAAGGAAACACATTTTCCCAGAAGCTGCTTCCTCTGCTGACTTCCACTCATGTCTGGGTGGCCAGAACTGTGTGACCTTCAAGCACCAGATGCAAAACCAACTGGGAAAAGACATATTTTGTCTAGTGCTCGGTACCTGGCTCCCCTGCACAAAACTAGGATTCTGTTGTGGAGTGGGGTGGGAGTAGTGACAGAGGTGGGAGAGTGCAGGGCCTGCCTTAATCATCTGAGCTTGAACTCTGCAAAGTGGGGCAACAGTGAAAGACATTGCAGAAGAGGACATTCCACTTTCAGCTGGAAGGAGCACCCAGCCCCTTTTCAGAATGCAGGGAAGCAGGGGGAGAGGAACATGTGCAAAGGCCCAGAGGTGAGAGCAGCATGGATGTGGCTTCTGGGACTGAGGGTTCAGTATGATGGTGGAGGCTCTGACGTGGAAGAGGGATGGAGGCCAGGCCTCCAGAGCCTCCTGGAACCTACACCCTCCCCCTTCAAGAACAGGAGGCAGAAAGACCCTTCCTCTGACTCTGGCAGTGTGGAAGGGGTGCGCTGGGGCTTCCAACACAGGCCTGCAAGGGCTTTAATGTTTTCTTGTTTCAGAGGAAAAGTAACCCTAAAAACATACAGACTTTGCACAGCAAGTAAGGGAAGCAGAGGGGTCTCCCTGATCTCTGGGTCCCTTTGGTGTGGGTTGAGGGAGCTGGGGGTGAGGGTCCTGCCTTGGGACTTGGGACGTGAGACAGTGGGGCTGCTCAGAGCTCCAGAACAGTGCCTGTGGGACTGGAGTGGGGGCTTCTGTGCTGCCTGGGTGGGGGCGCTCACATCTCAGCCTCTCTGGAGTGTCAGCCCCTGGGGAGGGGGTGATTCAGGTGGCCCCGGATCCTTGGCAGCTAGAACAGCACCAGGCACAGAGGTAGTTGCCAGGAGATGTGTTGGATGGGTGGATGGATGGATGGATGGATGGATGGATGGATGGATGGATGGTTGGATGGATGGTTGGACAGCTCAGGGGAAACGGTGACTGTCCTCAAGAGGGGAAGTCTGGTGTGTGTCTCTGTACTAGCAAACCCTAAGGCAGGGGCTTCTGCCACCCTGCTCAGAGTCTTCCCTGAGCTTGGGGCCTGCTGGGGCCACTGCCTCCCTCCACTGACTGGAGGGACCATGTCCTGAGCTTCCATCCTGGCTTCACTGCAGCGCAGCATATGGGTTAAGCCTGGCTAAGCCAACCAGAGCCCAGAATCCCTCTGACAAATATAATTGGTTGAAGGGAGTGCCAAAGACTTAAGCCGGTCCAATCAGAGTAGACCTTCCCTAGAACTTTGTCTGGGACAGATACACTACTTGTTTTCTTTGGCTGAGTTTGAACCTGCAAGAATGGAGCCCCGAGAGTCACCTGCTTGAGAATGAACTAGCCACCAGAAGGCAGAACCAAGAGGTACAGGGAAACAAGCCCTCATAACATCTTTGGAACCCCCCCGGATCAAGCCGTACCTGAAGTCATGGGAGTTCCAAACTTGCATCAATAAATTTATTTTCTGTTTAAGCAGGTTATATTAGCTTGTCTATCTGCAATAGCAAGAGTCTCACCTGGCAGAGTATGAAAGTCCTAAGACTCTTCTAGAAACATACAGCTCAGAATCCCACCGGGAGAATGTAAAGTCTTGAGCAATGGCCAGGGGTTAGACTCTTGGACAGCATGGCAGATACCCACAGAGGTTTAGAAAAACTGATTCACGTTGTCCCAGTAAAGGAGAACTAAGACCAGAGAAGCACGCATCTGACACACGCATTTTGACTGCTCGAAGGAGGACTTTCAGACAAGCAGGATCTTCAGCACTGGAGGGAGGGCCTGGTCCCTGGAGATGCACAGTGGCTCCCTGGAGGTGTACAGTGGCAGCTGGCAGCCCTGACACTCCAAGTTCCCAGAGGGGGGTCAGGCGGCAGATGGGATGGGAGAAAGTGGGCACAGGCTGCCACGTGACAGGGGTTTTACTTGCAGGGCCTTGGGGCCCCTCTGGTCCCTGGGAAGGCAGGAATCTCTAGGGAAGGGGCAGCAGCCTGAGAATTCACCCCTGCCAGCCCCAGGGGCCTCCGGTGTGGAGACAATCAGCCAAGCTCTGCAGCCATTAAGAAATGCCACAGGGAGGAGATGCCAGGGCCAGCCGAGGTGCCTTTGGGCGTCTGGAGGGTCAAACCACTGGGAGAGAGGGCGGGCCAGGTGCAGCCTGGAAGGGAGATGCAGGGGGTGAGATGCTGAGGACAGGCAGAAGGCCCGCTCTCCTGGCCCCTGGCTCATCCCCTCCCTGCCCCCTATACCGTCCTCACCAGCCTCCTGGCTCCACCTCCAGGAAGCCCTGCTGGCTACCGCCACCCACCGGCACCCGCTCACCCCTTCTGCCCCACCCCACCTGTCACGGGTGTCCTCGGGCTCCCGCTCCTCCTCCCCACCACCCGCTACTGGAAGGGGCTGAGTGGGGCTCAGTGCCCCAGGGCCCTGCTCTGCTTCCTGCGCCTTCTCTGATCCCTCAGGGCTCCTTCTGGCAGGGGCTCCACAGGACGGGGGCAGTAGACAGGGTGCCTGGGGAAGCTGAGGCTCCCTCCGTACCCGGCCCAAATGTCTCTCACAGGGGACACTCCTTCCAGCCGCAGTGGGCTGGGGCGTGTGTTTGGCAGGTTGGGCTGGGGGTCCCAGAGGCCTGAGGGGGACGCTCACCCTAGAGGAGGCTGCAGGGACGCTTCTGTGGCCGCGTGGGCTGCGGGCACAGGACGGCACGGATGGCCTCGTCAAAGACAGTCTTCAGGCCTCTCTGGGTGAGGGCTGAGCACTCCAGGTACTTTACAGAGTCTGGGGACCGGAGGGGGCGGGAGAGAAGGCCTGAGTGGGAGAGCTCTGTGCAGACACCCAAACCAGGGTCCCCAACCCGAGCACAGTCCCAAGAAGGCCTCCTGGGAGCTGCATCACCTGAGCAGGGAATCTGCCCCATGGCGCCTCAGTTTCCCCTGCCCAGAGTGGGCAGCTGAGACCCACAGGAGGCAACCTGTGTCCTTCTCGGACGCAAGAGCCCCTGGGCAGTGGGAGGCAGGCAGGACGCGAGCTTCTGTGACCAAATCTCTTCGCCTCTCGTGTTCTGGAAACAGCATGGCTCCCCAAGGAGCAAACCCCCCTCAGAGTCACCAGGATCCCCAGTATCATCTGACTATCCCTTAGCCTCATTCCCATTCTACAGAGGAGGAAACTGAGGCTCGCAGAGGATGTGTGACTTGTCCAATACCCGCTGGAGATTTCCCCACCCAGGGCACGCAGGGCCCCTTGGCATGGGCGTGAGGACAGACAGGACCCAGAGAGTGAGAAGGCAGACCGTCCCCACCCTCGAGGACAGGGTTTCTTGGCCTCCCGGTCAGAGTCTGCATGGCCTCCCTGTGTCTGCTGCAACCTGAACACAACACCGGAAGGAGGAGCCGGAGGAAGGAAGGAGAGGGGAGACTCTGTCTCCCCACAGAAGGGCCAGAGGGAAGGGGACAGACACCGGTCAGCACCTGGCCGTTCCTGCATTTCCGACAGCGCTGTGGAGAAATCCTGTGATTCCCCCAGGGGCAGATGAGGAAACTGCTGGGAAAGCCATGAGCAGGAGGCTCCCAGCTGGGAAGGGGGCACGGGGCTGCAGGGGCGGCCCCAGGGGGAACCCACAGAGGGCCAGGAGGAAGAAAGGGTGGGCGGGGACAAGGATGTGAGGCCCGGGGAGGGTGTCACTTGTCTAAAGTCTATGAGGAGATAACCAGTTGGTGGCACAAGCCTGGAACCCCAGCACCAGGGAGGCAGAGGCAGGAGGATGACTGTGAGCCTGGGCTACACAGTGCACTCAAGGCCAGCCTGAGCTACATAATGAGGCCCTGTCTCAAAAAACAAAAACCCCGAAGTCCGCAAGGAGAGCGCAGCAGCCCTGGGACAAGGCGGGGGATCCAAGGCTTAAACCCCAGGCAAGGCCCCTGGGGCAGGAGGAGAGGCTGCTGCGGTTTGTCTTCCGGTGAGAGAGGGGCCCCTCCTGCTTCCGGAGGAAGGCGGTGGGGCGGGGAGGAGAAGCTGGGCTCAGGCCCAGCAGGGAGGCAGAGCAGCTCAGGGTGGCCAGGCCCAGCTGGTGGTCCCAGCTGTGCTCCACCTGACCAGGACAGGGACAGGGCCCCAGGTCTGAGCAGTCCCCACCGCACCCCCAGGCTACAACTGCTGTCCTTCGTTCAGATTCCAATGGGGCACCTCCCAGCTGGGTGACCTTGGGAAGTCATGAACTCCCCAGCCCAGGGTCAGCCTGCAGGCAGACAGCAGCGGGGGAATGTGATGCCAGAGTGCACTTCCTCCAGGAAGCCCTCCCAGAAAGCCCATGCTGGGCTCGGCTGTCCACCTCCAGGGAACCAGTCTGCCTGAACAAACCACACCCCCTATTTTCAAAGCCTAGCAAGGGAGACTGCTCCTTGTTACCAGTGCTTCTCTGGGCAACGCTGCCCCAGGAGCCTGCGTGTTAATTCTCTTAATTCTCCCCGAGACCCGCAGAGGCAGGAACCATCACCATAGCCATGCCTTACTGAGGAGACACAGGCGCAAAGGCCAGGGGATGGGGCCAGGGTCACGCAGCCAGGGCACCGCACAGCCAGCGTTTCAGCCCTGTGGCCTAGCCACGGAGCAAGGCTGTGCCGGGCTCGCCCTGCCCAGCTCCCCGACCTGCGCCTGGCCCCGTACCAATCTCCTTGGCCAGTGCCAGGCCCTGTGGGTAGGTGATGGGAGCCAGCTTCTTCTCCTTCAGCTTCTCGATGGTCTCCTTGTCGTCCCGCAGGTCCAGCTTGGTGCCCACCAGGATGATGGGCGTGCTGGGGCAGTGGTGCCGCACCTCAGGGTACCACTGGCGGGCAGCAGGCACAGGAGGAGAGGGGCGGGCATAGAGGGCACCAGTGGAGAGGCGGTGAGCGGGCAGAAGGGTGAGAGGAGCGTGGAGCGGGCACGCGGAAGCCCGGCGCGTGGTCACAGCACAAGAGCGGGCGGAGATAAAATGTGGGCACGAGGTGATGCAGAGATAAGACACGGACACAAGGTTGCACAGGAAGGAGAGAGGACAAAGTCACGGGAGGCAGGGAGGATGACCACCCTCCTGACCCCTCGGAAGCCCCTCCGAGCCCTGGTCCCTACCCGGTCCCCTGCAGCACCTGGTTAGCACAGGACTGTCCCCACCGTGCCCTCTGCTGCCCCAGGAGGGCTCACACTGCCTGCCCCTGCCCCCACCTGCAGGCTACCCGCCTCCTCGGGGCTCCATCCGCCCAGCTCACCTTCGCACGGACATTCTCGTAGGAGGCGGGGCTGACGAGGGAGAAGCAGATGAGGAAGACGTCCTGGGGACAGAACAGGCCAGGGTTGCCTCGAGGGCTCCAGTGGGACAGCTCTGGGGCGGCTCCTGGGCCGCCTGAGAGTGGGGGCGGGGGCTGCGGGGCTCCCCCATCCCTGCAGGAAGCGCTCGGTGTCCCTGCTGCTGACAGATGGGCAGTGGGCTCACACAGGCTAGGGGCCTGCCAGGCGCACCTCGGAATGGGACGCAGGGCCCCAGAATCCATCCCAACAATGTCCTGCGCTGCCTACCAGCCCCAGCCCTCCCCCACGCACCGAGAGGTAGAACCAGGACCCCGGGCTTGGCAGCCACAGGCCCCCTGCAGGCTCACAGCCTGGCTGTTACTGGGGCCCCTGCCACACCCGAGAGGCGGAGCTGGGAAGCGGACCCAGCGACAGCAGAGGACAGAAAGGATCAAGACCTCGGCAGGGGCCCGGTTCTGCCCGGGCGGACTCTGACAACTGCGTCTCACGGGGTACCAGGTTCACCAGGCCACGCTGGCCTCAAGGTGGGGAGCGCAGAGGAAACAAGGGCCCGGGGCCAGGACCCCAGGTGGGACGGGAGGGCAGCACACCGTCTGTGGGTAGGAGAGCGGCCGCAGGCGGTCGTAGTCCTCCTGGCCAGCCGTGTCCCACAGCCCCAGGTTCACGGGCTTGCTGTCCACCATCACGTTGGCTGAATAGTTGTCAAACCTGTGGGGCATGGTGAGACAGAGGACTCGGGTCAGCCTCCCAGCCCAGAGCCTGGCACTTCCAGCCCAGCCCCGAACTGTTCCACGCAGGGCTGAGACCCAGAGAGGGGCTGCAGCTGGCCCCAAGTCACACAGCGCGATGCAGTCTATAGTTTTTCATGACTGATTCACCCTCTTTAAATTGCTTTCAATGGGAGGAAAACATTAGCGCCCGGTCACTATTCTGCCTGCCACTGTCCGAAGGAGGAATGACCGAGGCTGAGCACCCTTCCCTCCAAGAACTCACGCACCTACCTGCCACCTAGCTGGTCACTCGCTGTTTGTTGAGTGAATGTTTGTCCCTGTTTTAGGATGAGTCCTCCAGGAACAAGTCCTGAGACAACGAGGTACGGGGGTTATTTGAGAGGGAGTCCAGCAAACCACCAGAGGGGAGCTGCCGACAGGAGACAAGGAAGGGATGGTGGCCGAGACAGGATGGGCTGGTGAGCTACTCGGGCCTGCAGGGCCTCCCAGGAGGCAGAGGGACCCTAAACAGGGCATCCCCAGAGAGGGCAGGACTCAGGGACAGTTATCCACCATCCCCCTTCTCTGGCAGACAGAGGCCGCCCTGAGTGACACAGAAAGCCGCAGTCACGAACTCATGGAAAAACTGACTGGGCCCTCAGTGTCCACAGGAGGCTGAAGCATGTCAGGGCAAGGGACAAACAGGGCAGGTAAGGGAGGCCTTGGAATGCAGCCTGCCCTACACACACCCAGAGGTAAAGGTGTTGCTCCCTCATGCTGTTCAGGAAAAAAATGAGACCAGAGAGGTCAAGTGACATGCCCAAGGCCACCCAGCCAATGAGAGACCCAACTAGGTAAGAAGCCTGTCTGACCCCACATTCAGAGCTCCCACATAGGCCCACTGTGCCCCTCCCCCGGAGGTCCCACCTCCAGACCCCTTGCTGTGCAGGCCCTCCCACCCCTTTCAACCCTTGCCTCCTATTCATGCTTCAAAACCCTGCTGGGCAACCCTCCCACTCAGGGACTCCCTGCCCAGTCTCAGAAAGAGCTCTGGGTCCCTTCCTCAGGTGACTGCTTTGCCTTGACCTTGACCTTGAGCGGGTGTTTCCTATGTTTGCCCCTGTGGACTGGGCTTCTACCTGCTTCACCTCCCCAATCTCAGGCCAGGTGCCCCAGGGAGCACAGGTGGGACAGGAGCCAGGCAGCCTGCCCTGAAGCTCTCTGGAAGCCGCCTCCTCCAGGAACCACTCACAGAATGCAGCTCAGCCAGGCCACAGAAGCCCCAGTGCTTCAAAGGGAACCAAAGGCCCCCCTCCAGACAGACACCCCAGCCCAGCTGTGGGCACCCCACATTTCAAGTTTTGTTTTGTTTAGTTGCAGTGCTGGGGTGGATCCCAGGGCTTCACACAAGCCAGCCAGCCCTCTTCTACTGAGTAGCCGCTGACATTTGTAATGCACGCTGCTGGCTCTGCCCTGGACTTGGGCCTGGTCACCCCTCAGTTCCTCCCTTGGTCCCCAGGGCCTGGAAACTCCTATACCCGTGGCCTCTCGCTCCCCATGTGCCTTCCCCTCCCCCGCTTCCTCCCCGCGGCCAGCAGAGCTGACTGTTGCTCACCCCAGAGCCCGTCCTGCGCCTCTGCAGACCAGGGCCGCCCCACCCAGCCTGCACTCCCTGCTGGTCAGTGTCCTCTGCAGCAGGTACTGGACCGGGTTTGGTCTTCTGTGCACCCTGAGGCTAGCGAGGGGCCCAGCACACAGTAGGTCTGCTGCACACCCACTCTGGAGTCACCCACACTGCAGGGTTGTGGGAAGAAGGCGCTGTCCGGAGAGCCACAGCCAGGCATGCCGGGAAAACAAATGGTTTAGGTTCCAACCAGAAAACACGTTTGGGACAAGGCTGGAAGACCAGGACACTCTCCTCCTTCGACTTCCAACCTAAAATTCTGGCTCTAGACCATCCCAAGGTTCCTCGAGCCACAAGCGTCTGTGTCCCTGGGTCACTCCAGGGCGGCGGGGCAGAGGCATTGGTGAAAGGGCTGGGACCTCTGATGGCACCAAGAACCAAGTCCAGGGCCAAGAGGAGGCGAGGAGCCTTTTACATTAGGCCTTGAAGTCCCGGTGTGACTCGAGACAAACGGACCTTAAGTTACCCACCTCACCCAAGTAAGGAAACTGAGGCCCCGAGAATTCAAATGATATTGCCAAGCCAGCCGGCGTGGCAGCGCGGGCGCCGGCCTTCAATACCTGCTCATCCAGGGACGCACGTTAGGGAGCAGACAAGTGAACGGCAGGTGGGTTCAGCCGGGGACAGCGCCCAGGGACAGCTGTCTGAGGTTGGGAAGGACAGTTCCCTGAGAAGCTGCATCCCAGGGTGTGACTCAGGCTGAGTGACCTGGCTTCTCTGAGCCTGACTCACGTCACTAGGGGGAAAAAAAACCCTGTCTCTTGGGGCCATTCCCACTGGGAGATGTGAGAAGCCGGACGATCTCATTTTTGATGTCGCCAAGTGCCCCCACTGGGCCCCTCTCTAGAGGGCCAGTTGCCAGGATCTGAGGGACAGCTGCAGGGATACATCGATGATTGTTGCTCCTGGGGTCGCCCTGGTTTATGAGGCCTGAGGGAGGCACTCTGGAGGTCGCCATGGCCAAGCCCCTCCCCCTGGGCCCGTATTTTGCAGGTGGAGACACTGGGGCTTGCAGGCAGGAAGGGACTTGCCCAGCAGCTCCAGCCAGGTGGCGGCAGCAGCGGCCAGATCCTGTTGCCCAACTGAGCGAGGCCATAGCCGTGCAATGAGCATTGCGGCCGCTTTGTGGTTTGGGGGAGAGCTGAGGACTGGGGTAGCAGGGTGGCCCTGGGGAGGCCGGTTCTGGCTAAGGCCCAGCCCTGCCCCTGATGGAGTGGAGGAGAGGTAGGTGAGAGGGGGCTCTGTACCCTGGTGTCACTCATCTTTGCCCCAAGCCTCCCCCAAGGAGGAGCACGGTGCCCCACCGGGCATGCGTGGATGGTGCCGTGGGAGCAAGGGAGGACTGACCAGGCTGGCAGGGGCTTAGAACACTGTAAGGATTCTGCTCTGGGAGCCCGGATGTTACATTGCCCAGGGAATTCTGGGAGTGCTTTGCCAGTGCCCCGAAGGGAGGGTCACAAAGGAAGGTGAAATGAAACACCTAAAGGAATGGTGAGTGTGCCTGCTTACAGAGTGCCCAGCAGCCCGCCTGGCGGCCCCAGCATTACAAATGCCACCAATGTCCGGTACCCTGCCCTGGAATGGACAGTGCAGGAGACAGACAAGGGCCTTGTCCCCGGGGTCCCACACCAGCAGGGTGCAGCCCAGGAACTGAGGCATCAAGCCGGATCCTGATGGCTAGGGAGAAACAACAGCAACATGGTGGGATGCAGGGAAGGGGCCGCCTTAGTCAGGGGTCAGCAAGTCATGTCTGAGCAGCAAACTGGATACCAGGAAGGCAGGAGTGACCCAGGATCAGAGGCTGGAGGGCAGAGGCTGGCATGTCGGGGATGGAGGAGGAAGCCCAGCATTGGGAGTGTGTGGTAGTGACACAGTGAGGGTTGGGCTTCCACCCTTTAAATGCTGGGACAGGGATGCGTTTTAAGTATGAAGTGGCTGGGTGTGGTGGCACGCACGTGTAATCTCACCACTCTGGGAGACTGAGGCAGGAGGATCACAAGTTTGAACCCAGCCTGGGTAATTTAGTGACTTAGTAAGAACTTGCCTCAAAAAAAACTTTTTTCTTTAAAAAATAGCTCAGTGTAAAGCCCTTGGTTCAATCCCTGGTACCACCACGGAAGGAAGGAAGGAAGGAAGGAAGGAAGGAAGGAAGGAAGGAAGGAAGGAAGGAAGGAAGGAAAGGGGGGAGGGAAGGAGGGAGGGAAGGAGGGAGGGAAGAAGGAGAAAAGGAAAGGAAAGGAGAAAGGAAAGGAAAGGAGAAAAACATGAATAGAGCAGGGAGGGTTTCACAGCAAGATGTGGTCCTAGCTTTGTCTTTTCAAAGCTCTCCTGGGCTTCACTTTGAGCATGGTTGTAAGGACGGAGGACATGCCAAGGAGACATGCCCAGAGACCCTCTATGTCACACCCAAAGACAAGGTCTTCCTGCCACACCTGTATATCCCCAACGCTCCCACAGGACCAGGACCATCCCCAGAGTAGGTATCAGTCTTGTGAAAATGTGCAGCAGCCTCAAGGGTCCTTACTAGCTCAATATTGGGTCCAGGGCATAAATTAGCAGGCCATAAATGCCGCAGCCTTAGGGTGGAGTTTGGAAATCAGTGCTGCAATACCGCAATCCAAGCCTCAGCATCCCTGCAGTAAAAGGCCCCAGGCAGCCTGAATCCCCTCTAACGGAATGCAGAGAAAGGTGATGAAGAGAGCCTATCAGGGAGATGCTCCACAGACCCCAGCACTTGATTGGCTGGTCCACAGTACATCCCGCCCGCTAGGGAAGGTGCCAGTACATTGGCTGTTAGACTCCTGCCTCGGGCTGTAGGGTCAGGTGCTCAGGGTGGCTGATGTTCCCCTCCCTGTAGCCTGAACCCCACTGGGTATTGTCTGGGGCCAAGCAACTTGGTGGTGGGAGACAAGGCTGCTACACAATACAAAGTGAAAGTGCTCGGCCCTTGTTCAGAAGTTTTTGAGAAATGTGGAAAGAATATCAGAGACTAAACCAGGTGTGGGACCCTTCTGAGCACCGCGTGCTTTGCACCTGACTAGCGGCACCCATGCCACCAGCCCCGAGGGGTGCTCTGACCCAACCCCACTGAGTCCAGGACAACTTAGCCCCCTACCTGTCATTAGGGACCCCCACACACGCACACACACCCCAGTCCAAGTTGTTGGGACCAACTGGCCCTCACCTGCCTCATTTAGAAGCCTCAGTCTTCCAGCTCCCTGCAGGAGGGGAGGAGCCCGGGCCAGGCTGGGATCTCCCGGCCCTGCCCCTGCCTCTGCCTCTCATAGAGAGGGAAACTGAGGCTTAGAGACCAGAAAAGGGAAATGGTAGGTCCAAGATCAGCAAAAGGGGCCTTCAGGCCAGGAAGAACAGGCAGAGGTCGGCTGGGATCTCCGCCAGCATCCAGAGACTCGGGGACACAGGTGGTGACAACACACTGCTGGTGACAGCGGCCTTCAGCAGGCTCTCCCTTACCAATTCTGCACCTGCCTCCCTACCCTGACACAGTCCCTCATCCTTCCGCCTCCCTGGTAGGCCCATCAGGCGGGCTCTGGCACCCCCACCACCTGAGCCCTAGGTACCGCCCGGCCCGGCCCTCCCAGCACTCACACGGTTGAGAGCCAGCCCTATGCTGGCACTCAGAGGAGTCTGGTAAATGGTGACAGGCGGCCATCTGGACCCCTCATTCCCGCTTGGGTGGAGGGGCACTCTGCAACCCCAGGACCAGCTGAGCAGAAATCAGCTCTCCTGTCCTCCTCGCGGGTGGGCCAGACTGTCGAAAGCAGCTGAGCCCAGTGCCCCAGGGAAGGCTCGGCTATCAGCAGAGCATGCTGTGCCCACTCACGGGGGCTCAACAGGCCCAGGGTGGGGTTGGCCCAGGGCTCTGTGTTTGGCAATAGGGCCCTAGGGAATCCTCCGATATCTAAGGGGCAGTCAAAGGTCCCTTGGGCCCTGGGCACTATTCTTTCTGCTTCTCTTACCCCTTCCGAAAGGGTCTGGATGCTGCTCCTGAAAGGGGGTCCCATTACAGTCACAAAGCAAGGGCCCCAGCAACCTCCCTGTGGCCCTAGAGCACAACCCCTTTAGCCACAGCGAGATACAGTTTTCCCACGTCTTGGTATCACAACGCCGAGGACCAAATGAGATCACACTTGTGCGACTTTGTAGACGGCCATCCTGGGGCCCCTCCCGTGCTGTCTGGTTCAGATCCCCTTAAAACACAGGACGGCGCAGAAGACATCATGCCCGCGATCCCAGGTGTCAGACGCTGTGCCAAGACTGCAGGGAGGCCCGCGCGGAACCGGGCCGTGGGACAGATCACCTGAAGTCACACCGGGGTGTGGGACACCTCTAGGGGTGGATGGGAACAGCTTCCGGGAGGAGGGGACCCTGGAGCGGGGCTAAAGCTTTCACACACACGGACACGGGAAGGAAGAGCACTGCAGGCAGAGGGAAGAACCTGAGCAAGGCCCTGAGGGGAAAGCACCCAGGGAACCCTCGCCCAGCAGCAGGGAACAGGAAGCAAAGCAAAGGCCATGCCCTCTTCCTCCGCCCCGTCCTCCTCTTCCTCCTCTCCCTCCTTCTCCCCTCCCGTCAGCTTCTCCACCCAGCCCCGCTTCCACCATCTGCTCCTGCTGGGTCTGGCCGGCCCTCTCCTCTCCTCTCCTCTCTTCTCTCCTCCGAGGCCAGCTTGAAAATCACCTCCTGTCTCCCGCCCTGTCCCCATCGCCCCACCCTGACACAGTCCCTCATCCTTCTGCCTCCCTGGTAGGCCCATCAGGCGGGCTCTGGCACCCCTACCACCTGAGCCCTAGGTACCGCCCGGCCCGGCCCTCCCAGCACTCACACGGTGGGGATGTACTCTCCAGGGAAGGCGTTGGTGGTGTAGCTGATGAGGAGGCAGGTCTTGCCCACAGCTCTGAAAGACAAGAAGCCAGAGAGGACACAGTCGAGGGCTCTGCCTGGCACACGAGGACGGTTCCCAGTCTGTGCCTGGTGCTCTAGAGACCCGGTCTCTGCCCAGGCTCAGGTCTCTGGGTTCAGAACCCCCCCCCCCCCGGGATGCCAGAGACTCTGGTCCAAAGACGGAGGCAGAACCAGGAATGACAGCATGGGCAGCCTGGGCTTCCGACCCCGTTCTGTCATCACACTCCCAGGTTGCAAATCCCACCTCCTACCAGTGGCATGGCCTTGGAAGTCACCTAACCGCCCTCTGCCTCAGTTTCCCCATCTAGAAAACAAGGGTGAGTCCATCCTCCTAGGAGTGTGTGGGGTGTGACTTCAATGGTGCTCATGAGAGCGCTTAGCCAGGGCCTGGCACGGTCAGGGCAGCCAGAGACAGTCAGGAGGGCCTGGCCCTTCTTCCCGCCACTGTACCATGGGGCGTAGTAGGTAAGAGCACAGTCAGAGACTGCGGTTCCAATCCTGTGAGGTCTTAGGCAAATCACTAACCCTCTCTGAGCTTGCATCTCCCACCTGTATAAAGGGGTGTGATCTAAAGTTTGGGGTGGGGATAAAAGGGGCAGGACAGAGCCCGGTGCCTGGCACATAGTGAGCCATAACTAAGAGGTGACGGCCACTACTCGCAATGTTGCCCCCGGCCTGCCAGGTGAGCGGGCACATGGAGCTCCTTGAGTAGCTGAGTGCTGAGGGGGCAGCTCTGGGCCTTCCCCAGCTCTGCTGGGTTCTGTCACTTCCTGTTCCAGGCCGACTTCTCACCCTCTCTCCACTGCCGCCCTCCCCAGGGCCTGCCAACAAGGTAACTTTGAATGATGGGACGTTGTTACCCTTGACTTCTGCGCCTCCCCCATCAGAGGCAAAGCAGAAGTGCGCAGGGCGGGCTGGGACAGGCGGAGGGCAGATGGGGCAGATAACAGGCGGCTGCCTATGCCCCTATTGAGCCTGATCCCAGCCAAAGTCGGCCCCAGGGACTCAGGCCTGGAGAGAGCCAAGTCTCCCGAGGCCACAGGCTGCGGTTGTGCGGAGGGGGCCAGCTGCACCACACTGGGATCGGTGCCGGGGCACCCAGCAGGCACAGTCGCTTGGACCCTAACACGCCCTGGCTGGAGTGAGAGCCTGACACACCAACCCTGCCATCCTACAGATGAGGAAACTGAGGCCACAGGGGACATGACTGCTGAGGTCACTGTGATCTGACCACTGAGAAGCCCTTGGCCCAGCCCTTGCCCCCCCAGGCCTCCTGCCCTCCTCCTTCCTGACTCTGCCTCTGATTCTCCCCCACATCCTCCTCAACCGTTAGGCTGAAGGGCGGGGGCAGAAACGTACGCGATCCACTCAGCATGTCCCTGTGACCCCACAGCAGCCCCGGGGACCTGAGTCTCTTCCCAGATGGCGTGGCTGAGACTCAGAGTCGTGCTGTGACCTGTGACGGGCCCCAGGCCCCTGCAGCAGCAAGCAAGGGACCACAGCCCGGGTCAGCCTGGGACAGAGGCAAAACTGTTGGTCCCCGCCTAACCCTGCATGCACAGAACTGCAGCCTGAATTGGAGACCTGCCCCGGCTCTCAGGGTGCAGGCGCGGGCCCCAGGCACCATTGCCCTCCAACCCAGCGGTTTGCAGGGTGGACGGGCGCAAAGGGCAAGACTGTCCTCAGCCACCCCAGGTGCTCCCTCTGGGCCCTGGGACAAGAAGGAAGCCACTCCTCCCAGCGGTCCCCAGGACTCCTCCATCCGCCCATCTGCCGGATGCAGGGCGGAAGGGTCTCCAGGGTCCCAGGAGGTACCTACCCATCTCCCACCACCACACACTTGATGGCCTGCATCGTGTCCGGGGCCTGGGGTGTGGCAGCGACAGCTCAGGGCCGGAGGCAGCGTGCCTGCGGGCACCAGGGGTGTGGAGAGCTGGCGAGGTGGCCCGGAGGAGAGGCGGGGAAGCAGCCGAGGGACAGGAGGCAGGAGGAAGCGGAAGGGGAACTCACCAGGCTGCAGCCTGGCCTGCAGAGGGCGGGGCCTGCAGGAGGGCAGGGCAGGGGGCCTCAGGTGCTGGCTCTGCCCCTCTACCCCCAGGCACCTGCCCTGGGGTTCTAGCAGGACACCTGGGCAACTTCTGGACTGGGAGACCCACTTCCTCTCTGAGGGATGGAGACAAGGTTGCTCCCCCAGAATGTGAGGCTGCCCCAAGGTCAGTTCACCTCAACCATATGTGAGCATTTCACGATGCCTGCTGGGCACCGGGCACAGGGACGGGAGTGGATGTTCCTCGGTGCGGGAGGCCTCACCCGTAGAGAGGCCGGGCTGCAGCACAGGTGCCTGTAGATGCGACAGGAAGTGACTAGAGCCACAGAGGAGAGCAGGAAGGACCTCTGTGTCGCCAAGAGGAAGAGCTGGCGACCAGCAGGTTGGCATCGCCCAAGCTGGCACTTGGAATGTGGTGTCCAAGCCAGGGCAGTGGGGTGGGCATCGCCTGGGCGCACATAGATGTACCCCCAGCAAGGGCACATGTGGGAGGTTAGAGGCGGGGGTAAGGCAGGAAGAGGCGGTGGCACAGCCGATGGAGAATGCGAAGGCAGGGGAGGAGGAGCGGGCACCCTTCAGGCAGCCCTGTGACCGGGGACCGGAAGCAGGTACCTTGGCGCATTTCGCGGATGCAGAGCAGAGGGGCTGAGAGGTCCCCTGACGCACCATGACCAGGCGGGCGATTCCGAGCCCCCTGACCCCGGCGGGGGGCGAAGCCTGAGGCTGCAGCTCAGCAGCAGGGCTGGGGGAGCTTGTGTCCCACTCAGCCGCAGAGACTTCCGGGAGGGCTCAGAAAAATGCTGCTTCCGGCTGGCTCCAAGTTCCCTGCTCACGGCCCCTGCCGACCCCCAGCACCTCCCCGGATGGGCTTACTCACCCTAGATATGTGACCCACAGGAGGGTGGGGCTGGGGCCAAGGGCTGGGGCTGGGCCCAGATATCACCCTCCCCACTTTCTGGTGGGCCCCAGGGTCCATCTAAAGGAAGGAGTTGGAGTGGTGTGGTGGCCATCCTGAACCCGGATCCGAGAAGGAACCTTAGCAGGAGCCGTAAGGGGCAACTCGAGCTGACATCGAGCTACCGGACCGGCACGGCTGTTCACTTCTTAGCTCTGACTCACCTGCCTGTGTCGGCAACCCTGACCCACGATGGGCCCCTGTGGAGGACGGAGGTGGACGCCTACTCTTTTCACAGTGTTCCTGTAAATCTAAAATTATTCCAGGACACACGCATTGTCACAGTGGCAGAGCATGTGCTTAGCATCCTCAAGTCCCTGAGTTCAATCCCCAGCACCAAAACAATTTTAAAAAGGAAAACAGCAATGGACCCCTCTGCAAATACCCAACCAATGGGTGTGGCTTGGAAAACAGTCTGTGTACTGGGTTTCATCCCACACTCACTGCCCCCCAAGGCAGAGCTTCCTTGTACAGTGCACAACTTGCCCAACCGTACATGGCCCTGCAGCCCGAACATTGCACCTGATGTCCATTTCAACAAAGCCACTTCCCCAGCACAGCACATGCCAAGGATGTCCCTGGCTGGTGGCCATCAATCTGCTCCTTCACTTGGCAGGGAACTTATGCACCCGCTGAGTAACTAACTCTGGGCTTGGAACAATAGCAAGCAGCCCCTGAACAACCCCAAGCATGACACAGGTACGCTGGAGGTGCTGTCTTGGAATGTCCCCAACCTGCAGGTGGCCAGGGGCTGTGTGAGAAGATGTGGAGGAGGTGACAAGAGAACAAGACAGCAAAGAAGAGGGGTGACAGCCATAGGGCCAGAGGGGCAGTGTGACCACTGCTGTCAGAGCAGGGCTGGAGGCAGGAATGTCCTCCTCTTCCCATTCTGCAGAGGAGGAAACCGAGGCACACAGGCTGATGCACTCCACTTCCCATGAGTCCAGGTCTCTTTGACAATATTCCCATTGCACAGATGAGACAATGGAGGCCCAAGTGCACATGACAAGGTCATGAGGCAGAAGCTTTGGTCTCCACTGTTACCAAAAGGGGGAGCATCTCCCAGCTTGCACCCCTGTGCCCCTACCTGCCCCTCCATCCTCCTCCATTCACCTTCCTCCCCCCTCTACCTCCACCACCCCACACTGCACACTCCGACCCCTGCAGGAGCTCACTCTGTAGGTCTAGAGCTTCACAGCAATAGTCTGTGTATACCCTGCAAGGTTCCTCAGCACAGCGTGCTTGGGGGATGCATCCACGCTCCTGCAGTCGCTGGGGCCCAAGAAGTGGGGTCCCCATTCTGTGCATCCCTGGGTCATCCCCTCCTTTTCTGACCATGCTTTACAAGCTCAGCAAATCACAGAGCCCCAAGGCCAGGGGGTCTCAGAGCCTCCTGTCCCCAGTCCCACCTTCACACCATTGTACACTGCCTGGTTCACCCCCCGAGCAGCAGCTGCCCCGTCCCCAAGCACATCCTTCCAATGATGGGAGCTCATCCCTGGCCAGTCCAGCCAATTAACAACCCCTTCCTCACCTGACTGAACTGTCCCTACAGAGGTTCTAGATCTTGTCCTGGGACCACTCAGGATCAGACAGCCCCCTTCTCTTAAGATGGGCCTTGGGATTTTGGAGGCACAACCCTCACTCAATAGTGTGCTGGTAAATGTTTAAGTTCTAGTTAAGTGATTTTTCCTGGGTGTATAATATTCCTGTGATAGTTGATTGATTGTGTCAACTTGCATAAAAACACCCAACTAAACTGGATCAGCATAGTTTTGTGTGTGGAAGATGCACTGTAGGAAGGAATATTGCCAGGAGCCTATAAAGGGGAAACAACGAAGGAGAAATCAATTCTGTTCTCTTTGGAGGAGCTCTAGTCTTCACTTTCACCTTGGACATCTCTCCTGGCTTCTAGTGCAGACTCCTCAGCCTCCTGCTACCGACTCCACAGGACACTACCCCAGAGCTCCAGGCCTTCAACTGAATCCTTCAGACCTCCAGTGTTCAGACAGACCTTTTGTGCTCACACCAGACTCTGTGGGTGACCATTGTAAATCAATCATGTAAATTCTTATATACTTGTATCTCTTGTACTAAATCTGTTGCTCTAGTAAGTACGGACAGATTCAATTCCATTACATGAATGTATCAAAATGTTTTTATCCAATCTGCTGCGAATGGTCATGTTAGGGGCCTGCAATCTTTGCATTATAAACAATTCTGTGTGAGGATCCTTGGGCTCCTGGAGTTGGCATAGGAGGTTTCTCTAGGAGTGGGATGACAGGGATGTAGGACTCACCCACCCCTCACTTCTGAAGACATTGCTAGGTAATGCCCCTGTAGTCCCCCTGTCCACACCCCCGCATGCACAGGACCTTGTGAGACTTGATGCTTTTGCCAACTTGGGACACATGATTTGGCATCTATGATCACTTGTGTCTAGATGTCCCCCCAGAGCCTCATGCGCTCACAGGTGGGTGATCTGATTTTGGAGGTGGCTGAATCTAGGTTGTGTGATGCTGATCATGGTTGTGTGGTAACTGTATTAATCTACTGATTGGATCAGTATGGTTCTGGGTATGGTACAATGGGTTTACTGAAGAGGAAAGCCCGACCCTGGTGTGGGTGGCATCACTCACCAGCCTTGTAGCCTCAGTGAAATAAAAAGGAAAAGGCTTCCTTCTGCTGCTACTGCTGCTGCTGCCGCTGCTGCTGCTGCTACCTCCTGCCTGCCCTGCCATGAACTATTTCTCCTCTGTCATACCGCCCTGCCTTGGAGCCAGCTGACTGTGGACTGAAACCTCTACAAACTGTGACCTGCAATAAGCCTTCCTCCTTTAACTTGTGGGTGTCAGGTATTTTGTCCCAGCAATGAAAATGTAACTAAGACAGCGTCTCATTGTGGTTTTGATTTATATCAACTCATTTCTAGCATTCTATAAATCACCATTTGGTGTCTTTTGTCCATTTCTTTAAGACTTTTGTCTCTCTTTTACATTTATTTGCAGTTCCTTATGTATTGTCATTTCAAGGCTTGTATTGCTACAGGCATTGCATAGTTTAATTCCAGTCTTTGAGATGTTTTTACTCTTATAAGATGTGACAGTCAATAAACAAAATTTTCATTTGTATGTAGTTTTGAATTTCTTTCCCTGAGTCTTACTTAAGAATTCCTACCCAATTTCACAAAGACATTCTCCTACGAGTTCTCCTGCAGGGTTAGTTGTTTATTTTTTTCAGTGACACTGAGGGTGAAACCCGGGGTGTTCAC